AAAAAACCACCAGTCTAATCTTAGCAATTTCTAAGTTTATTGTCATAAAGCTTACCAATGGCATCAACAGCTTCTCATGCCTCGCAGCCGAAGTCTGGGTTGCGTTGGCTGATCCTCATTCCCTTCAGAGAGTGGTGTGCCAGCTACCGACACTTCTACATGCCAAATGATTAACTGATAGTGATATACATTCAGGAGGTCTAATTGATCTAAGTGAATGATCATGAGACAAACAACAATTAGATAGACATTAAGATTTAAGGGGTTTATTTTATTTGTATTTTTAAAGTAAGAACTGAAATAGAGACACACGTGAAATACTACAGGTATTTCTTAAGAAGAGAAACACATGTGCGGCCTGCTCTGGACAAGCAGGAAGACTGACAACTTCCAGCTACACTGATTAAGCAAAACACAAGGAAGATGTCCAAGGGGTCACAGGTTTCTGCCATCTGCAATTAAGAACCAAACCATGAATTTTATGCTGAATATTTACAGCCTCTATGACTAAAATATAGGTATGAAAGTTGTTTAGGAGAAAGCATTCCATATACTTTCCTGCCTCTCTTTCTCCCCTTCCTCTGCCTCTGAAAAGGATGGGTGAAATGCAACGTTTCCTGAGATGCGGGCTCATGCAGCCAGGCGGCATTTCTGGATAAACGCAGACAGGAGAACTTTGTTTCCCTGGCAACTGGAGCCACAGAAAAGCTCTTCCAGCATCTCTTCCCTTTGTTCGGGTTCACCATGATTATATCCATTGGTCAATCAGGTAGGAAAAACAATTATGGACTAAAAAAAGCATTCTGATAGTCTACTCCACTTAACTCATCTTGCCTCCCTCACAATTTCTAGAATAAAAAGAGGCCTCTTCATGTGACCTCAAAGTTCACAGCTGGATTTCAAGGTCTGCCCTGTTCTGAAAATTCACCTTAAACCTGGAATGTGTCACAATCTTCAGGGAGACAGTGTTGGAAGCTCAGCAACTTTCACACAGCACCCAAAACCTGAATGCTGCTGTGGTCCCTGAGTCGTGCCAATGACTCACTGAGCTTTGTTCTTAATTCTGAGTCAGGGCTGCATTAATATTCCAGTGCATTATGATGATTCTGAAGCACTGTGCTGATGGCTTTGGCTCTTTGAGCAATAAAAGATTTTAGATTTTAGAGATAAAAAACCCAAAGGCAACGTGGAAGCCCTTCCCACTTGCTATTGTTAAACATCACACGTATCCCTGCCCTAGGTGTTCTTTATTCATTCAAATAATTTCACTAGGATTGTAAAAGAAAACACTTCACAGCTACAAAATTTCCAGTTTATGTTTTTTCTCTGGCTTAAATGTAGCAATATTGTGTAGTTTATCTAAGAATGAAGCACAGAATCCTTGTGTTTTGCTGCCTGGCTATCAGACAGCTGGCTGTGGGATTTCTTTAACTCTGAGGACTGGCATTCATGACTTAAATAGTGTTTCTTAAATATCAAATTTCGTGTATGGTTTTCTATTTTTAATGAAAAACAAGTGCAATTTATTTCTCTTCTTTCTCCTAAAGTCCTGTGAATTGAACGCTGAATCTATAGTGTTGTAATAAGAAGAAAATTGTGGCATTTAAGCCACAGATGTGCACAATCAGAGCTGGATACAAGTTGTAGCTGTGTGTTTGATATTGTGCTTTTATGCTGTTATCCTTTCCCAGACTTTTCCCTGCTTTCCCCGAGAAGAATAAGGTCTTTTGTCTAATGGGGTCCCTCAGGGGAACAAGGAGTTCTGGCAGAAGTCTTGGTATGGACTGGTTGGGCTGACCTCCTGCCAACACTTTCTTTCCCTTCCTCTGTGACTTCGGGGCACTCCTGTCCTTTTCTGCAGGACTATTGGAAAGGGCACGGTGGCAACCGAACAGTTTTTTGTTGGAGGAGAGGGGGATGGTGACTGAGCATGGTTTTTCCTCTGTCCTCAGGCTTCCTTTAGCCACTGCTGCAGATGTTTCTAGGATATGCAGTGAGGCCAGTTATTCCTGATAATCCAGCTATTGAAGTTTTCCTCAGAAAAGCAAACATGCAAAAGGGAAATATTATTTTTAACAGTTTATCTGAATTTGTCTAAACTTGCAGAAGAAAAAGGCATTTCTTTACTCCTAGCGCTTGCTTTCTACTGAGTTTGTAAAGACCTGCAACAAGCAATAGCTAGAATAGAGCCCCTGAAATGGAGCACACGCGGACAGAAAGCACCAGCCAATTAAATGTTGCCCCTGGCTCACCATACAGCTAGCAGTGTCATGGCTGAACTCCACCTCAGTCTAGTTTCATGCAGATGTAATGCACACTTACACCGTTAAGGGTCAGTGATTGTGGCTGTAAGCACATAGCGTGTGTGTGTGCTGACTCTAAGATGACTGAAGAGTTTCAGCACAGAATTTAGCTAGAGAAAGAGGAGCTTACTGCCTGGCCCCTGATGCTTGAATATTCTTTGTCTGCTATTAATTAATCTTACTGAATTTTTCACATTATCTTTGCTTTAGATTTATGCAGAGCAATAATAAGCTTTTCTTCTCCATAGAGATGTTTCTGATCCATCTGTAGGAATAGCAGAATGACAAACTGTTGCTTCTTCCTCAGTATCTCCAGCCTAACCCTTAGTGTTCATTTTAATATTTTGCAGCTGTATGTGCTTACACTTCAGATATATACAAAAAGAATGCCAAAAAAGCAACAACAAAACAAACACAAAAAGCAAACAAACAAACAAAAACCAATACAACAAATGATTGTTCATAAGAGATAGTTTAGCAACGAGTGCTAAATTGTTACTGTCTTCTGGCTCTCCTATGTTTTTTAATTACAGAATGTGGAGAAGTTCAGTGAAGGTGTTCACAAGAAGTTAAAAATCTCCAAATAAATCTATGTAGGAGGTGAAGCAGCAGTAATAATTCCCTTTGGTGCAATTATGTGGGCCCATGGATTGCAAAGGGAAAAACAGAATCAGGGAGCATGCTATGTTAGGATCTCACTTTATCTTCCAAGTGATAATTATTGTCCCAGGCCAGTTTTCCACCTTTAAAATGTGCTTGGCTGAGGGGATTTACTGTCATGTGTTTGTTGCCATGCACTTTTGATGTTTTCATCAAGGGTGAAACTTCCTGACAGCTCCATGTAGGTGGCAGTGAGCAGATGCTGATTTTTTCAAGGAACCAGCAAGCACGGTCATGGCTATCACCATGCTTGCATGAGCCTTGACCTTTGAAAAAGGGGATTCTGTACTTTTTAAAACTCCTTCTTGACTTTCAACTCTATGGCTGACGTCATTTCTCATCTTGATTATAGGTTCGGAGAGAAAAAAATGTTTTAAAAATGGAAACCTCAGCCTATGAGAAGAAGCTGGAATAAAATTTCATGAGGATGAAGGAAATTCACAACTCCTTTCCTGACCATCTGAGCTTCACAAAATGTCCAGGGAGGCATGACACCCTGCAGGTGCCTGCAGAGAGTTGCTGTCCTGCTGGGAGCTTTGAGGCACAGCCTGCCTGGCCTATTCTCTGCTCCTTCCAGAGCAGGGAACTCTGGTTGGGATTTGGGATTTCAAACAAAGATTAGCGTGTTTTCAGCCCCGCAGGATGGAGTGTTTAAGGGATTAGGCCTGAGGAGTTTGATTTCTGCACACTCCTCCTCTCCATCCTTGACCACAGCAGGATGTACTTGGCTTCTCACAGTGTGGAACAGTTTGAATGAACAAAAGACAGCAATTAGGCTGCTCCCAGATGTTCCTGCCTCTCTGTGCTGTGGAATCCAGCTTCTGACATTCCCCCAGGTTACAGGCATAAAGGAAGAGGGGCACAGCCACCCAGCGAGAAGCATTTGGGATCCATAGTTGTGAAGCTGAGGCAGAAAAAATCTGACAGGTCGGGCAAGAAATCTAAACTGAAAAATTCTGTTTTATTCAGCATCTACCAGCCTGTAAATGCATGCAGAATTCAGGAAGGCAAAGGGGGTCATTGCTTAAGACCTGGGAGTGTGAGGGCAATGAGAAAAGTTGATTTGGAAAAGTGTACAAAACCAAGCACCCACTCACAGCAGAAGTTATTTCTTTTATTTTGTCTGCCTCTGAGCGCAGAGGCAGAAGTCATGTGAGCTTCTGAGCTGCAGGGACAGAGGCAGAGGAGAACACATGCATCAGAGCAGCGTGCTGCTGGAGCCCTGACGGGGAGAGGGAAGCAGAGAGAGCCTGGGAGGGAAAAGGTAAAGTGGTAGGAGCTGGAACAGCAGCAGCTGCTGCTACTATGCCATAGCTCGTGCTCAGGAGTCAGCTCTGCTGCTAGCATGCATCTCTGAGGGCTCAGGTGCCTCGGGTTCAAAAGTCCTAGAAGATCTGTGATACTCCCAGGAGCCAAGTGGATGCTTTTTTTTTCCTGCGAATATCTGTCTGAAGATTCTGCTCCTTCTCCTGGATTGAGAGGTATTTTGTGTCATTAATTTGTCTCTTGTTTAGAAGCAAGCATGGGATCTAGAAAAAGATAAGGCAAGGCTTATGCCAAAGCAGGTATACGGAGAGGTGGTAGATATCTCTCCTTGTTTATAGTAGAGTTTAGGGAGCAAAGAGCCCCTGTCACTAGGATGCTGTTTGACTTAAAAGATGGAGGATGGGAGAGAGAGAGTTAAAGAGTGGGGGTGGATCTGAACTGCTTCCCATCTGATTTGTTTCTCTGTAATTTCTGAAAGTGGAGGGAAACTTTCCTCGTGCACCTGGAGGAGAAACACTTATTATGTACTGAGATGTAAAACTTATGTTTATATGTTTTGAATGTGTTTTATTTAAATCCCCACTTGGCAAACTACAGTTCTTGCCACAGCAGTGTTCTCCTTAACAGGTACAAATTTTACAGCTCTTAATATTCAGTGGCTGTGATAGCACCTCAGTCTCATTCCCTCTTTTTCCCTTTTCTAGCATCCTTCCTCCTGTAGCCTGCACTCTCCTCCCAGTCTCTGTCCTGTTTGTGGGGGCCGTGGCCTCTATGGATGCCCCTGTACAGATTTTCCGGGAGGAGTTGGACTCCACCTGCACACCGGGGCCCTGTCGCCCTCCCAGCACCAGCAGCAGCTGGCCCCTGGGCTGGGCGGACTATGACAGCAATGCCACTGGGACCTTTGGGGACACCCAGCACAACCACACCAGCATCTCCCCTTCCATTCCCATCATCATCACTGCTGTCTACTCGGTGGTCTTCGTTGTTGGCTTGGTGGGAAACTCTCTGGTGATGTTTGTCATCATAAGGTAAGGGGCTTTGATTGAAAGAGGTGCAAATGGCTGTCCTGAAATTTGGCAGTCCAGGGGGAGTTTATGGAAGCTGTCTGGGTCTGCATATATCAGGAACTGAACAAAAAAAAAGTAGCCAGAACGAACCCAAATCTTTTAAGTCACAGAAGCTGCATGGAAATGCAGTTACAGGGAGAAGGGAGAAGCTGGATAAAGGTGATGAATCCTGTAGCTGTGGGAAAGGTGCTTGGTGCCCCTGAGCTGTGTTCAACGGGTGCCCTCTAGGGATGAGAGGCTGCCCTTGACTGAGAGAAAGTGGGAGAAAGAAACTTCTGCAGGGTACCTTCTTTTTGTGATTTTATTTTTTTCTCTGCCTGAGAGGAATCTACCTGGTGTAGGGAACCTGCTTTGGCAGGGGGGTTGGACTCGATGATCTCTGGAGGTCCCTTCCAACCCCTACAGTTCTGTGATTCTGTTAATCCTCTAGACATGGCTTATGTATCTAGCTGTGTGGACACTGATATTTTGCTGCCTTGTCACCTAGTAGCTCTCTTAATGAGGTAGGAGAAAAGGAAGCAGTAAGAATCACATCCGTGTAATGTAAGCTAAAGGATGCTGTTTCTCTGCTTAGTGGTGTTTAACTCCAGTTTTTGGCATTGCCTTGAAGAAAACAAAGCAGATGTAGAGAGGGGTCTACTTTTCCTGTTGTTTTTCAGGAAACAGGAGAAAACTGTGTATCTGTGTCAAATAGTTTTTCATATTAAAAAACTTAGTGAAATGCATCAATACTGGTATATTGTTATATATTTTTGCCTGCACTATGCTTTCTCTTTTCATATGTAATTTGTAATAATTCCTGGACAGTGCAGCTCAGCAGGGTGATAATGACCATCCAAAGAAATTGAAATCATGAAACTTTTCAGTCTCTTCCTTCATATTCTATATGAATCTTGCAAAAAACTCTGGATTTTGGTGGGTTTTTTTGGTGGGTGTATGGAATATTTGATCAATAAATGAAATCACCTTGAACATAGGAAGAAAAATGGTGGGATTGCAAGTTGATCTTGTTAATAAAGTGTGCATGATAAAGGTCAAGAAATTGCAGAATGATGAAATAAGTGTCAGTCTTGGTATGGGAGGAGTTAACTGGAATCAGTGAAGTTATTGATGATGTACTTTATGAAAGATGTCTTAAAACCAGGTGAATATCTTTGAAAAATGAAAGTAAAATCTCATTTTAAAGTCAGTTCAATAAATAAAGATTCCCATGGTCAACGCAGGGTAATGGGTTTACTCCATCTTTGTGATGCTGCAGTTTTTATGTCTCATCAAGCTATTTTAACCTTCATTCAGAGAAAATATTTATTTTTGCAAGAAGAGAGACTCTTACTTAACATATACAGTGCCATAGGCAGAGTTTTTCTAAGCCATCAATCATTTAACAGTATGGTGCTGATTTGCCAGTCTGGGCAATGGAAGAAAATTCAAACTTATCCAGAACCCTGAAAGTTAGCATGGATGGATTATATTGATTCGTATGTATTTCCTTTTCTGTCTTCTTCTATTACCCTCCTAAGGTTATTTTTGTGAGGGTCTAGCTAGCTGTGGCTCTCTCTCCACCAGATCTACTTTAGTCTTAAATACATTGTAATTACATTACAAATTTAATTGTACTCAATATGGAAAATTTAAAGATTCCAAATGTTCATGCAAGAGTGTATTTTCATTTTTGTCCCAATCTTTCATTTCCCTTTCTCTTTCCCACTCATTCTCTCTCTTCACGAGTGTATCTCAAGATGGGTTTTCACGACCCATTGAAAAATGCAGATTGCACTGATTCTTTATATGGAAAGCCAAGGTCTACAAAGACAAAGCAGGCAAGGGGGAATCATGTCCCCTAGCCATCCCAAATTGCTTTTCCTCCAGCAAACACAAATTTTAAGATGGAGTGATAACTTGTCTTTACCGCCAGAAATACTGGGTTTGCAGGAGTCTTCTCTTTACTGTTTCCCATTTCTCCAAACCCCAAATCCCTCCTCCTGACACCTAGCAGGCAGCACAGGCCTGGCTCCTACTCCCTTTGCTCCTTTTGACCAACACCTTGTAGTGTCTCATGAATTTTCATTTCTGGTAAGGAAGTAAATTGTATAATTATATGGCTTACTAAAGACGAAGCCAAAATAAGCTTCCTTCCCATGTGACCATAACAACTCATTTATTGGAGGGATGGGCTGTGTAACAGACCTTTGCTCTTTCCCAGATTGGAGAGCTGGTGTTCATGTATCTCCAGGGATGAGGGAGGAGTGAGATTTTTGTATCCTCAGTGATGAGGAGACAACTCTCATGATGCTCCAGCCTTTCTGAGACAAACGGGTGTGTGTTCCACTTCAGTGAGTGCAGAAGTGGAAGCAGGAAGAAAACAGAAAAAAACATTGATAAGAAGAGAAAGACATACAGATACGGGAGGCGGAGCTAAAAAAAGAAGGGATAAGTTGAGACAGAGACAGATACACCTTTTGAACACTTGAATGATATATAGAGAGAATATGCGTTGGATAAAATTGGAAATAGCATTGTTCTGAAATCTCTTTAATGTGTTAAGAAATCCCTGTGATAGGAAAACATTAGAGCTGAAATAGCGTAATAGATTTTTCACTGCTCCTCAGGTATCAAGTATTTGTCACCTCATTTTGGTGACCAGTCATTCCAGCTCTTATTGAGGTCTGTGTTGAAGGCACAGTGGGGGTAGTACATTAGTACTGTGGTGCCAGTATGACCTGTTAAACCATGACTCAGGAAACCTGAATTCATTCTTCCCTTGGTTTTACTGCAGGGATACAAAGCATTGTTCTTACCTATCGAAGTGATCAAGGTCACTTTGTGGCCCTGTGGCTCAGTTTCCTTTTGTAAAGTGCAAATATTGATATTTACTGTCTTTAAACAAAAAACAACAGTTAGAATTATAAACCCAAATCCAGTCACTCAAAATCCTAACAGAACAAGACCAGTTCTATTGTAAGCATTCCAGACAATTCAGACACGTCAAAAAAGTTTACTTTTAATGTGCTGAAAGAAGAATGAAACCTGTACTCTTGGCTCTCTCCTTGTAGTTGATATTAGTGCAGTGGATGGTTTGCAGGAACTCTCCCAGTGTTCAGATCAGCTGCATGGTCCATGTATAAGTACCAAGGGTCTGCTGTCAGACCAACAGCCAGCAGGGCACAAGGGATGTAATGCTCACCTGAAGCTGCTTCTTTTCATGGGAGACAGTAAGAGAGGAACAGGGAATTGTATCCCCTGCTGCAATGGTGGAAAGTGCAAATGCTACGTGGGAAGCACAGTATGGAGGAGAAAAGGAGGCAAGAAATGGGTTTGTAGAAACCAGATAAAATTATCTGACCTCATCTGAGTGAAGTTATACAGCTTTGTGCGTTTTGACACGGTCAAAGTTTATCTCAAGCCCTCAGAGCTTTTAATCTCTGGAAGTAAAATAGTTGGCCAGTGCTGATAAATAAAATTGCTCGTCCTTGGAAACATGATAGTCCTTTTCCTTTCTTCTTCTCTTTCTCCCTCTCCCCTCCTCCTGACTTTATTTCTCTAAAATTTAGTTCTACCTTAAAATAACATGGTGCTTTCTTGTGACAGCTGGATGGGAAGAAAAGTCCTCTGAATGAAAGCTGAGTTCCAGCTTTAACAATGGATTTGCTTTTACAAAAACCATAAACATATTCTGGTAAAAACTCTGTGGGAGCCATGTGGCTGTCTCTTGCCCACTTCTGATTCACTTTTTCAATGTGCCTTACCTCCATTTTTCCTGAAGTCATTTACTGAGAACAGTTGCTATCATCTAATTCTTAAATAGCCAATCCTGTTATTTCTTTTTAAATTACCACTGACGCTTCCAGTGAACTGAATAATTTTCTGCATGCAAAAACACTTTTAACAGGAGTTTGTGTCACTGTTATCTATATTCATTCCTAGGGGAATAGAGAAAGCTTGTATTCTTCTGCTTAGTCTAATGTTTAAGGAAAAAGTGTAATTAGTAATACATTTCTGTTGTGATATTCATAGAACTGAGTGGCATCTTATGCAACAGAAAGATTTTATGAAGAAATGTCAGCTAAATTCATCTCCTTTCCAGATTGTTTCTAAATTTTCTCCATGATTAATTCTAAACAATAATAAAAGTATTAAAATACGTATATATAAAAAATGAAATAGATTCAGTGTACAAGTTTAAATTAATATTAGATTTTGGCAACACAAAGATAGTACTTTAAATTATTGTCCTAATTTTATTAAATTACATTTTGAAAGAACATTCTGAAATGAAAAATGAAGCTGCAGAAGAGTCGACCTAACTGAATTGCCTGTTCTCTATTAATTGTAGCCAGCATGATTTCATTCTTTAATGAAATTATGGAATTGGCTGCTAAGATTAAAGACCTAGCTGCAGCATACTTTATGAAGCTTATGTCTTTTAACCTATTTTTACCTGATGAACAGGCAACATCTTACTATTAACACAGAAGTATCAAATGGATGAGTAGCAGTTCATCATGGGACCTGAGGGAATACCTGGCCTCACCTCACAGAGTGAAGGTTCTTTCGGTGGATTCTTCAGGATCTGGCCTAGCATGGCACCATTTTCATAAAGACTTTGATTACTAATCACTACTGCCAGCTTTTACAGATGGCACAAAGACCAGGGTAATAGAAAGAGAACAGGTTTGTAAATGAAAATATTGGTACCCTTGAAAAATATCACTTATTTAAGCAAAATCCAAATGTTTTTAATTTATTTAATACCCTACTAGACAATAAGTAAGTGAGACCTGGGATTTATAAGGGACAAGAAACTCAACATGAGTTCCCAAAAAGATGCTATGATAAGAAGAGCTGATACTGAGACACTAGAGAGAACACAGGAAGGGGTTGGAAGGAATATTTATTAGAGAGAATATTAGAAGGAGGCTAGTTCTTATAGTGTGTAATCTGTTTGGCTTGTAGAAAGTTAT